AGAAAAAAAATATGAAAAGACTCTGGTACCACTCCATTGGATGTCCCAAATTCTCACACTGTCTACATTCTTTACTGCGCCGGCCACTTCTGCCCAGTATATCGTCATAGACCTCTATGGGAACATCCCCGAAGCTATAGATTCAAGTCTATGGGGATCTATATTGTAGATGTTGGCAGTGCAGTGAAGATTTTCAATGGTGCGGTAGGCCATGACCGTGATATGCATCTGTAGAGGGGAAGGGTGGGGGGTAGTTTAGGTCAAGATGAAAGCGGACGGAAAGGTACGTGAATTTAATTTGAACGCTCACTTATCATTGAAGCATAATTGGATTTCTTTGAAAGCATGACTATATGTTTAAAGGCAACTATGTAGAAACTTTTAGAGTTACATGAGGTATAAAAAAGACATTAGGGGGTACTTGGCAGATATTTGTTGCAATAGAGGAATGCTAAATATAATTTATGGTGAGAAATATCATAAGAGGAATCTTTTGTTTTCTGTTATTTCAGCCCTGACCATAGACGCGCCCTGACACCTCTCCGCTTCGCACTGCTGCACAATGGGTGTGCGTTGCTGCCACTATTCAAAGTGAAAGTACATGACCCAATGGAAACAATACACCCCTTGTCTACTTTAAAGGTCAAGTAAACATTTCGGTTATATTTTCCCCATGATGTTTTATAAAGAAAAAGATACTGAACTTCAATATGGAGCTATTACCTGCAGTACCTCTTCTTCACCACAAGATGTCCTCAGTCTCATGCATTAAATAGGTCTCTGTGTCTCTCAAACCCCGTAGACTAAGGAAAGACTGTGGATGCAGGGTGTCATGGCTCCGCCCTCTGAGCATTATGCATTAAAGCAAAAAGCAGTGCTGATGTCATTACACCGCCATTACCCTCTGCGTCCTCCAGGACCGCCCACAGAAGAGGAACCAGCACATCACATGACCAGCCGGACATCTGACAAAGATCATTTGGGGGGGGAAATGGCGGCGGCCTTTAGGAAAGAAGGGGTCACTGTGGAGGGAGGGATGTGAGGGGATTGCACAGAATTTTACCTATGACTCAAAGTGACTGCCACTAGTTTAAAAAGCTGTGAAAATGGCCTTTGTGTAAAGAAAAAGATTTAGGGATCATTCCCACAGCCCCATCTGATACTTATCCGTCCTGGGTACCCAGTGCCACCGACAGTTTGCTTCAGATCCCTGGTCCCCTGTTTTGGTTTTATCCACCGGCCCCTACATGTAACCTAAAGATCTATATAGAGGGATCAGGACCTCCTCCCTCCTGCTGGGGATGCCTCTAGTGTTAATAAAGATCTATATAGAAGAATCAGGACCTCCTCCCTCCTGCTGGGGATCCCTCTAGTGATAATAAAGATCTATATAGAGGGATCAGGACTTCCTTCCTCCTGCTGGGGATGCCTCTAGTGTTAATAAAGATCTATATAGAGGGATCAGGAGTGGGATAGAACTTATGGAAACTCAATATAGAAATACAGGTTTGTTTTTAGTTCATGACCCTACATGCCCTCTATTCCATCATTGCTTTATAAATAGGACCCTCAGTATCATAATATTGCACATAAGAAGGAATTCTTTCTAATGTGAGCTTTATCCGAAGACCGGAGTTCCCCTTTAAATATCTGATCGGCATTATAAGCAAGCGAGGAATTTTTACCAACTCTTCCTATATTATTGGTGCCGTGTCCAGGACTGGACACTGCGGCTCTCGGAAGGGCGTTGAGTGTGTAATTACTTTCTGATAATTTATGGTCTGCAGCACAGCGGGGGAGGAAAGTGCCGTATCACTCATACTGCGCTAATAGGGCTCATTAAAAGGCATATTACGCTTTTTGGGGAACAAAATCAATAAATACAAAATATGCGATTAGTAATTTTTTGCATGCAGGCTTGCCGAGCCCAAACGTTGACGTCTGGAGTGAGCCAGGAGAAGCAGAACTGTTTTTTTTGGAGGGTGTAATTAAAGGCACAGTCCACCTTTTACGAAAATGTAATAAATGCACCAACGTTAGCAAAGTACAAAATGCGCATTTATTGTTTTTGTTGGCATGCAAGCTTGCAGAGCATTGCAGTCATGATCAGTGCATCTTGGTTGTGGTGCACGGATCCCTGCAGTGTAGCCCCCCCAGCCCTAGGTCTGTACGGAGGGATGGACTTTCGGTTATGGTGCTGGAGCAAGTAACCAATGGGCTACAAGTCCAGTGATGGCACCAAATCTGTGCCGGTGCGGTCTGTGAATCCCTCTTTTTGTATTTGAGCCTGCAGAGCATTGCAACCGCCATCAGTGCATGACGGGTGCAATGCACAGGCTCCTGCAGACTGCCCCCCCAGGTATGGATCTTCAGTTATGGATCTGGAAGAAGTAATTGATGGACTGACACACTTGTGTGCCATTGAGATCTGTGAGTACCTGCGGTCCCACTGCAGTAATTCCTTTCCACCACTAGATGTCCGTAGTCTTTCCAAATGTTGCACTTGCAGTAGAAGGGCCATGTCAGCAAGGGCGTCCCGAGGCAGGGTGTCACCCAGTGTCATCGCGCACGCGCGGTCATCTTATTGACGCCTACCGGCGACCATCTTGGTGATGGACGCCGGCAAAGAAAGGAGGGGACGTTCACCTGGCAAGGATGAGGTATGCCACCAGGTCCCCTCCTCTCTCCTGACACTGTCGGGCTCTCCGTCAATGACCGAGTGCCTGGCTTTTTAGAGGGGGTGACACCAAAATGACTGTCAGTCATTTTGTTGTCACCCCTCCAATGGTGGCACCCGGGTGTGGGCCACACCCCCCTTGTGACACCACTCCATGTCAGTGCTGCAGGGAAAATTGTGGCCATACCACAATATGGTCACTAGATGGCGCTGATGATCATAGGAAATCAATAGTAAGATACCACAATATGGCCACTAGATGGCGCTGAGGATCATAGGAAATAAATAGTAAAATACCACAATATGGCCACTGAGGCGCTGAGGATCATAGAAAATCAATAGTAAAATAGCACAATATGGCCACTAGATGGCGCTGAGGATCATAGGAAATAAATAGTAAAATACCACAATATGGCCACTAGATGGCGCTGAGGATCATAGGAAATAAATAGTAAAATACCACAATATGGCCACTAGATGGCGCTGAGGATCATAGGAAATAGATAGTAAGATATCACAATATGGCCACTAGATGGCGGTGAGGATCATAGGAAATAAATAGTAAGATACCACAATATAGCCACTAGATGGCGCTGAGGATCATAGGATGTAAAATACCACAATATGGCAACTAGATGGAGCTGATGATAGGGTTGCCACCTTTCCAGGATTCACCCGGACAGTCTGGTTTTTGAGTCCTGTCTCCGGGTTTCAGGCCAGCTGACACACGGACACTTAACATTTTTTGAAAGGAAGACGGAAGAGGAGATGTGCCAGCAAGCGTGGGACCTTGGCAGCCTTCCTGCGAGCCACAGGCGCTTGTAAACAGGCGCCGGCCTTCAACTCCTCCTACATCTTTCTGACACCATGCTGCCCGCCTCCAGACTCCTGGTGAGACACTGCACAGCACTCTTAGCCACCTGAGAGCCCACATAGCCCACCTGAGACCCCACACGGCCACTTCAAAGCCCACACAGCCTCCTGACAGCCCTCACATCCCACATGAGAGCCTCCACCGCTCATCTGAAAGCCCACAGAGTCCAGCACAGCCCTGGTGAGAGCCCGCACAGGCCACCTGAGACCCCGGAGACATCAGGGAGCCTCCCCGGAACAACGCATATGTCACTTGATATTTATTTTGCATTGCTGTATAATGTATTGCTGGAACTTGTAGTCCTCTATAGCAGTTTGCACAGCGCTGTACAATACAAGGAAGACATTACAATCACAATACAATTCAAGACGAGATGGTAAGGAGGGCCCTGCCCCTGAGGGCTTACAATCTAAAAAATCTCCTGGCTGCCCCTCCTCCCTCTCTCCTCTATAGTCTCCAAAAAAGAAAATTGCGACGCTAGATCGTTTGGGTTTCACTTGAAGAAAAGGTGACAACCCTAGCTGACGATCATAGGAAATAAATAGTAAACTACCCCAATGTGGCCACCAGAGGGCGCTGATGATCATAGGAAAGAAATACAACCTAGTAACAAGAGATACAATGACAGATCGGGCTGACACAATGGCACAGGCATCACCGCACTTGTAGTCCAGTGTTTACTTTCACCAGCCCGATAGTAGAAGCTGGTTAAAGGTGGTTATTAAATGTTTTCAAAAAAGTGTACTGTTCCTTTAATTACAATAGCATTTCAGTATAGGGGCTCCACTTTAATTTACAGCCCTGCATGGTGAGTGGGTGAGCACAGAGAATGACTCCATATTGACGTTTATATGACACACAGCGAAGGAATGAGGTTCATCAGTGCGGTCTGGAAGCAGAAACATCAGAAACTGATGATGAATATGGAAGCAGCCATTGCCCTTGAAGGCGTGCCCGCGGTTAGTCACATGATAGGGTATAAGCCATCGGGAGCATCCGCATCATCCCTTGCACATGCGCAGTATGGACGTAGTTGATGCGTGCACGCGTGCAAAGGATGCGGGGGTGTGCACGTTAGGAGAAGCTCCACAGCCCTCGCCAAATCCCGCCCACCTGTCATTACGAGGATTGCAGATTGGCCAGGCTTCCCCTGTCTAAGCCCTGATTGGATAGAACTTGCGGCGTTGTTAAGGCCGCCCCGCTGTCACCGGTGTAGCTTGTGATAGGCGAACGCTCTGATCAATCTGTTGCACTCAGCCGCGTTATTGGTTGTCTATATTGGACGTCAGAAGGAGGCGGGGTCATGCTGTATGTCTGATTTTTTTCCGCCGTTCGGTACTGTCGAGCCCCGGGGAGGGTGGAGCTCCAGGACAGCGGCGCCGGGGGGGTCGGGGGCTATAGGTGAGGCTCCGATACCGAACGTAACCCGATCCGATATTGCGTGATATGCCGGAGGTCTCTGCAGAGCTGAATGGGGTGAGTGCAGAAAAGAAAGGCGCAGTGTATGTGTGTGACGTCAGTGGTCGAGACCAGCCAGATGTGTGTGACCTCATACGGTGATGTCATCATGGAGGCCTGGCAGCAATGGCATCACCACATTCCTCTGCATGGTGCCCAATGTGTCCCTTCCAGATATGTCAGTACCTACCTCACCTGAGGGACATCTACCCCCTATATACAAGGGACACTTACCTTCTATATACCAGAGACACCTACCCCAGTACAGCTATATACCAGGGGCACCCACCTCATATATACCAGGGACACCTACCCTCTATATACAAGTGATACCTACCTCCTATATACCAGGGATACCTACCCTCTATATACAAGTGACACCTACCTCCTATATACCAGATATACCTACCTCCTATATACCAGAGACACCTACCTCACTACATCTATATATACCAGAGACACCTACCTCACTACATCTATATATACCAGAGACACCTACGACACTACATCTAAATATACCAGAGAGACACCTACTTCCTATACACCAGAGAGACACCTACCTCCTATATATCCGAGACACCTACCTCACTACCTCATATATACCCGAGACACCTACGTCACTACATCTATATATACCAGGGACACCTACCTCCTATGTACCAGGGACAGCTACCTCACTAGAGGGACACCTACCCCCTATATACCCGAGACACTTACCCCCTATATACCAGAGACACCTACCACATATATACCAGAGACACCTACCTCACTACATCCCAACTTCCAATCCTCCAATGGCTGGCGTCATAGCCGATCACATGGGCAGCACCATAGTAACAGCAATTGATATAGAGGGCATGTGTAGGATGGGGGGCGGCGGGGTAGTTCCACTTTAAATGTCTCTTCTCCTAGAAGCCTTGTGGGCGGGGCCTATAGGAGATAACTGTCACTTCCTATCCAATAGATGCAACCGCTGAAGTCCCAACTGGCCCCCATTTAAAGGGACTATCCATTGTTGGGTCCCTCCTTATTACGGCCTCTAGATGGCGCTGAGGAGCACGTAGGGATTTCCTGTCCACCTCCCGGTCCCTCATCACTTGTCCCTCTTGTGATGATTAGACTTCCGTTTCTCTCCTTGTACTGTACAGCCGCCATCTTTGAACCTTCCATACTTCCTCCACATTGGTTGCATTTGTTATTATAAAAAGACAAATAGAATGAATTACGGTTACGGTGAGAGAGAGAAAAAAAAAGCACTTTGTGGGGTTAACCACTCCATCTCTGCTCATTAATTATTCATGAGCTGATTACGCGGGGGGCGTGGCCTTTGTCTACATAGTTCTGCCAAATTAGCCCTGCATGATCCATCTCGTGTGGGTCCCCTGGTGAAGCCACGGGCGAAACGCGTCGGGACCTACTAAGCTAAGCCGCTTTAGGGGCAATCATGTTGTTGTCCACTTTGTTATTAACTGTGTGATCATTATCATGTCAATTTGAATACTTGAATTTATGACCTTGTCTATACCCAATCAATGTTTATATAAAAGGGACCTATTAAGTCAAACCGCTATAGGGGGTAATCATGTGGTCGTTGATTATGTGATTAATATCATGTTAATTCTGAATACCTGGATTTATAATCATGTGTATACCCTATCAATGATTGTACAAACAAAGCTCATGCAGGGTTTCTATACACCTGTAATGCATTGTATCTTTTTAATAATATTACTTAAAGGAGAACTATGGGGTCAGGGCTTTTCCCCATAGTTCTCCTTAGGGTAACGGGAGGACACAAACTAGCGTCCTCCCGTCACCCTAAGCTCAGTATATAGAGAGCTACAGCTCGCGGTATACTGAGACGCCGCACCTGGAGCGGATCCCGACGTAGATGACGGGATCCGCCCAGCTGCGTGAGTGACAGCTGGCTCTGCCTATCTAGAGGCAGAGCCAGCTGTACCCGCCCCCTCCGCCGTCCGTTCTACCAGTTAGCGCTGGTGGATCGGAGCGGGGAGAGGGGAATCCAGCCCCTCCCCCTGTCACGGCAGAGAGCTGTGACAGGATCGAGAGGTGAGCGAACTGCAGTATGTGTTCGCTCACTTCCCGATCTACTGAGCCGACCTGTGACAGTCTCATTGTCACAGGTCGGCTAGAACTATGAGGTGAGTGAAAAGCACCCCCCCCCCCCCCATAGTTCTCCTTTTAAGCTACAAAAATAAAATATGACATATTTTTAGTAAATCTCTCTTGGATGGTCACTTACACCCCTCCAGAAACCCTATTATCTCCTAACCTTTTTTCTATTCATGCACTCTATATAGGGGGTGCGGTGTAAACAGTGCAGCCATCAGAAATTTTGGGGCCCCTTACACGGCTTTAGGCCGGGCCCCACCCGCCGCTGGACGCAGGGCTTAGTGACGCGCTGGACGCAGGGCTTAGTGACGCGCTAAGCCCACCATAGATCCTGCACAGCCCATCTGCGACCCTGACCCTGCAGTCAGGGTCGCAGAGCCTGCAGAGCCCACCATAGATGCTGCACAGCCCATCTGCGACTGTCTATGGTGGGCTCTGAAGGGGTCGCGGGTGAGCTGGTCAGGGCTGCATCCCTCCCCTCCCTCCTTTCCTTCCTTCCTTCCTTCTTTCCTTCCTAGCTCCTCTTATCTGCACACATGGCCTCATCTGACCGACGGACCGGCCAGAAGTGACGTGACGTCACTAAGGTGACGTCACTTCTGGCCAGTCCGACATCAGACGAGCAGCGTCGCTGATGGGGCCCCAGCTTGTCTCAAAGCCGCTGGAGCGGCAATGCTGGGGCCCTACACTGCTAGGACCAGGCCTCCGCCTCCTCGCCCCTTCACCGTTGGACTGAGCCCTACAGAAAGAGGAAGAGGAGGAGTTAGATTTGTAGGTGACATTAAAGGAGCGCTTAGATAGGTAGGAGGAGAACCACGAGAGAGCAGAGTCTTGTAGGCCAAGCGAGTGGAGTTTTTTTGAGGGGCAGCGGGTGGTCAACAGTGTCAAAAGCAGTAGAAAGGTCTAATAGCAAGATAGAATTGCCGCCCAGCCTGCTCACACGGTAAGCTGGCTCCATGTTCCCCTACGGCACTGCCGGTGAGAGGAAATCTTCCTCTGCCCGGAAGTTGCAGTATCAGAGTAAGAGTACTCACCCAAATACTCGGCATCAGCATCGGTGCAAAACAGGAAGTAAGAGGAACTCGCCCAAATACTCGGCATCGGTGCAAAACAGGAAGTAAGAGGAGCTCGCCCAAATACTCGGCATCGGTGCAAAACAGGAAGTAAGAGGAACTCGCCCAAATACTCAGTATCGGTGCAAAACAGGAAGTATGAGGAACTCGCTCTTCCTAGTGAAGGAACCTCTCCTAGTGATAAAGTAGTACTCCATAATGAATCCAAATCGGACCTGTCTATGGAGGTTTATTAGGTACACCCTGTTAGTACAGGGTTGGACCCCCTTTTGCCTTCAGAACCCCCTTCATTCTTCATGGCATTGATTCCACAAGGTGTTGGAAACATTCTTCTGAGAGTTTGGTCCCTATTGACATGATGGCATCACACAGTTGCTGCAGATTTGTCTGCTGCACATCCATGATGCGGATTCCCCGTTCCACCACAACCCAATGGCGCTCTATTGGATGAAGATCTGGTGACTGTGGAGGACATTGGAGTTCAGAGACCTCGTTGTCATGTTCAAGGAACCAGAGTGAGATCATGTGACATGGAGCGTTATCCTGCTGGAAGTAGCCATCAGAAGATGGGAACACTGTGGTCATAAGGGGATTGGCATGGTCAGCAACAATACTCGGGTAGGCCGTGGCGTTTAAACGATGCTCAATTGGTACTAAGGGGCCCGGAGTTTGCCAAAAAATATCCCACCACACCATGACACCACCACCGGCCTGAACCGCTGATACAAGGCAGGATGGATCCATGTTTTCATGTTGTTTATGCCAAATTATGACCCAGGGGCATCCTGAGGCCAGGTGTCACCCCGGTGTCTCTCGGCCGGGTGACACCCCACTGTGTTGTCATTGTGTGTAACGTCACCGCGCATGAGCGGCCATCTGATTGACGCCTGCCGACGGCCATCTTGGTGGTGGATGCCAGCAGAGAGAGGAGTGGACGGTCACCCGGCGGGATGAGGTATACCGCCGGGTCCCCTCCTCTCTCCTGACACTGTCGGGCTCTCGGTCCATGACCGAGTGCCTGACTTTTTAGAGGGGGCGACACCAAAATGATTGTCAGTCATTTTAGTGTGACCCGGGTGCGGGCTGCACCCCCCCTTGTGACGCTACTGTTCTGACCCTACCATCTGAATGTCGCAGCAGAAATGGAGACTCCTCAGACCAGGCAACGTTTTTCCAATCTTCTATTGTCCAATTTTGGTGATCCCTCATGATTCGTAGCCTCAGCTTCCTGTTCTTAGCTGACAGGAGTGGCACCCGGTGTGGTCTTCTGACGCTGTAGCCCATCTGATTCAAGGTTGGACGTGTTGTGCGTTCAGAGATGTTCTTCTGCATACCTCGGATGTAACGAGGGGTTGTTAGAGTGACTGTTGCCTTTCTATCATCTTGAACCAGTCTGACCATTCTCCTCTGACCTCTGCCCATTCTCCTCTGCCCATTCTCCTCTGCCCATTCTCCTCTGACCATTCTCCTCTGACCATTCTCCTCTGACCATTCTCCTCTGACCATTCTCCTCTGACCATTCTCCTCTGACCATTCTCCTCTGACCATTCTCCTCTGACCATTCTCCTCTGACCATTCTCCTCTGACCATTCTCCTCTGACCATTCTCCTCTGACCATTCTCCTCTGACCTTTTTACCATTCTCCTCTGACCTCTGACCATTCTCCTCTGACCATCCTCCTCTGATCATTCTCCTTTGACCTCTGACCATTCTCCTCTGACCATTCTCCTCTGACCTCTGACCATTCTCCTCTGACCATTCTCCTCTGACCATTCTCCTCTGACCATTCTCCTCTGACCATTCTCCTCTGAC